TCTTGGGTTAATACTTGACCAAAAATTAACTTTTAAAGATCACATTGAGGGCATTCAAGCCAAATGTAACAAATATATAAAATGTTTGTATTCTCTTATAAACAGGAAATCCAAACTTTGCCTGACGAATAAACTTCTAATATTTAAACAAGTTTTTAGACTGGCCATGCTTTACGCTGAGCCAATATGGTCTAGTTGTTGCACTACCAGGAAAAAAGCACTTCAAAGGAGTAAACCTGTTTAAAATACTGAATTGCCAAGACAGGAACAATGTAAAAACACTTAGCTATATATCATAACAATTAAGGCAGGTAAGTTACTGTTGTAACTGGGGCACCTAGGTTAAAATGAAATGTAATTTATTTTGAACAAATAAAGAGTTAAAAAAGGTGGAATGATATGTTTTGAGTCTGAAATTGAAACTTTAGACTAAAAGTCTCTTCTACAAAGTTGTTTCTTATAGTTAGGGCCTTATTTTTATGACGATGAATTCTAGGGTGGTTCCTATTATCATTAAAATAAAAAATCTAACTTTTTTGTTTGAATAAATTAAGGTATACACTCTTCGGCAAAGTTATAGCTGAGCTTATAGATTTCAAGCAACTTTGTTGGCTATAACTTTTTTGTATCTCTTAAATTGGCCGATTTAGAGCTATTTTCTTGAATTGAGTTAGGGTGGTTCTTAAAAAAACAGTTGTTTTGCTCTAGTTATCTTATTCCGAATTTCTCAGCAAAGGTGTCTTCAAATAACTTTTAGATCTTAAGAAGGCGCAAATTTTTGATGCACAAAGCTTGTCAATATCTTTCGCCGATCAAGAGTTATTGACGTTTTTATACTAAAAATATGCACTTTTCAAATGTTAATATCTCTGGTTGGGGCAAACAAAAAAAGTTTTTCTACGGCATTTGAAAGGGCGTATGTTATTCTCAATAATATGAAAAAATGGAGCTATGTTATTTTTTAAACTCGAATAAAATTAATTTGAATTTATTCATAATTTTTACTATATTTGGGTATATCTTTTTTATTAGAAGAGATGCAGGCAGCAAATCCAGCTATAAAACATTCGTCGACTCAAATGTCAATCAATCAATCACTTGTTTGTATTTGTTTTCCATTTTGGTGGTATTGGTGTTATCGAGAATATCACAAATCATGAAAAACTAATACAGCTACATCTTACGTATTTTATGAGATTTGATAGATGGGTAGTATTGAAATCATGCTGCTTAGTATATTTATTACATTTTCTTAAAATCTCAGGTAGGAGTTTGTCCCAAAAGTACTCGAATGATGCACCCCATTCTGCCAATTTATTTATGGTAGGGAAAACGCTCCTATAGTTGCGGTACGTTAGAAGCGTTAGGCGTTCCTATAGTTGTGTATTGAGTCTCCATACACAACTATAGGAACCTAACGCTTCTAACGTACCGCTACTATAGGAGCGTTTACCCTAATAGTAAGAATACAATAAAATACCCAAGTACCAAAAACGACTTGTGATCTGACGATCAAATGGTGAAACGACCCCAATGAAAAAAATGTCATAGAATCCGGATATTCAATCTACATATCAAGAGCAAATTTTCATTATGTCGTAAGTAACATTCGCACCAATCCGAGACAAATAAAGTTTTGTTTTGATGACCGAAAAGTTATTCCTATTTCCAAGTAAACACATATAATCTCATAGTGATAGCAATGTTTAACATATTTAGCAGGGTTTTAATCATACAAATGCAAATCGCTAGCTTTCGTGCTAAAAAATACTGGTTTTTGAGTCAAAAGTTATCATACGTCGTTTGGTGGCCCCTATTGTTACTTAAGTCAAAGTGTATTTACCAGGATATTCGGGAGAATTATCAATTACTCAATTACGTCTCCTTACGTGCAGCCCATTCATCATTTTAGGACCACCGAAATCATCTTAGCAACAGTTCGATTTATTCACTTTAATAATGAGAAAGCGAAACGACGAAAGTACACTTTTCACGGGTTTCTCAGTGCTGTTAAGTAACATCGAAAACTATTTTGATCGGAAGGTGATTACGTCAAAAAGCAATTTGGCTGGCAAATAAATTTAAAAATGGGATTTGATCCTATATTCGGACAGTATATAGTGTAATAGCAGGAGAATCGATTGACACTGATAGCTCGACTTTGTTTACCTTTGTTACATTCGACGTAATGAGAATTTGCTCTTGATATATGATTTGTGTTTGCCAATGCACTAACTTTTAATTGCAACCTCATTTTCTATTATTTTTTAAAGGAACATAATTTCGAAGAAATCCATTACTTTATCTTCAACTCTCACCTGGAAGTAGAGTTTTTTTTTATCCAATGTGACACTTACTCTTACATCCCATCTTAACCGAACTGTCAAGAACAGAGCCCTTTATCGCTTTTTTATTATTAAAATAGTTCTCCCGTCAGCGGAAACGCCTGAAAATATATTTTGTTAAATGTTGATATCAGTGAAGTAAGGACGCAAGTGTATTATATGTTGATAAATGACCATCAGGAATGCAACAAATAAAATTATGACATTTGTCAATAAACATTTTGCGGCCACTGAGGCCGTACTGAAATTTATCATTCATCAACTGACTGATTGGAGCGATATTAATTTTCTCTGTCTTCGGGTAAGACACGCACGGGAAACTCCTTGTCTTCACTATCATTTTCGGCTGTATCACCAGCTCTAATGATTTTCTTAAGTGCTTCTCGTTTATGTGCAGCTATTTGTGCTTTCGATTTCCGCGACATCGTTCAAATATTGACTAGGTATATTATACGGAAGTCACGCACAGCTACACTGTGTTGTTTGTTTGTAAACATCAGCATAATCATATGGTCGAACATATGTTATTTTGGTTAGTCGGGTTGCCGGTTTACCCAAAAGAGAAAATATGTAATTTTATTAAAACAAAATTTCGATAGAAAAGTGTCATCTAAGGGCGATGATTTTATCTTTTCAATAAATAAAATATTCCTGAATAGAAAATAATTGAGTTGCTATGCACAAAGATGCTTCTATCAATCATAGAATTTATTTTACTGAATCTTATGTAATAGTTTCATGAAACTGTTTTGGCAACATTGGCCAATGATTGCTGCTAGGATAAAACATTGGATGCGTGGCTTAACGCATACATTCATAATGTGCGCATGTGTCAGTCTTGTTGTGATCTTTCGTTGTTTACCGGTAAATCGTGAATAAAAATACAGTTTTTCTACTAATTTTCATTATAAATCGGGTTTAACTTATTAGATTGTGAAAGTAGATATATGTGCAGATGTAGTGAAGACAATGCAAATACGGTATCCCTTCTGGAAGTGAGTAAAATAAGCGGTGTTCAATTTGGGGCTGGGATTTTTTTTTTATTGTGATGATTTTTTGTGTGTCGTAGTGCTAGGCCAAACAATAAATTCGATGTTATTGAAAAGCAGATATCTACCCAACAAAATGAGATATTGCTTGAATAAAAGGTGAATGCATTAAGATAATGAATCAGAGCAAACTTCGAAATACTTGTTGTTGATGTATTTCGTGTGTTTAGGCTGGAAAAAGCTTCAGAAGTTGTGGGTGGTTATTTTCATTAACTCGTTCCCACTTTTTGATGATCATCATTGATGACACCTTCTGAGGCTGACTGTTAGTTGCCTCTTAAAGAGTTTTAAAAGTCTCTAGAAGATGACTTTCAAAATAAATTTCAAATAAAAAAGTTATTGGCAAAAGATGGATTTCATAGGACCACTCTAATGACAAATTTAAATAAAATGTGCTAGTACATTTGTTTCAATATTTGGACATTTAGTGTCGTCGAAGAAGTTTTTGATCTTGAAAATTCCCTTCTTTTGGTGTTTGCAAACTTCAGGGTGGTTCTCAAATTAGGGAATTTTTAAAAGTAACTTTTTTGTTTTACAAAATAAAAACATGCGTTGTTTAAAAAAATTGTAGCTAAGTTAATTGCAAGCAACTTTGTCGAAGAAATTTTTTCTTCTATCTAATGAATGTAAAAGATGTGCTGAATGTTCAGTTTTTTTTTCACTGGCTACGGCAGTTTTGTTAAACGTATTGTTTCAAAACAAGTTCAAAAAATAATCTGTTGAACTTCAACTTAGTTTTTCTCAATATGACAAAAGTGTTACATTGGTCCTTTTGAAAAAGTCTCGAGAATTTGACAATCCTACAACTCCTGACAATTCTATAACTCCTTGATGGTCCCTACAATATCGAGTTTTAGAGAGTTCACTGTATCAAACGTATGGCGTTGAGCATTAAAATCTCAAAATTGCCGCAAAATCACATGGGACATTTATGCGTCCACCGGTAGCATGGTAATCCACATTTCAAATGGTTTTTGCACAGTCAATTTCTAAACAAACAAGTTCACATTTTGGGAGGCTAATCAGGACCCGACTTGGAAACGTTTGAGTACTGTGGAGCCAAAATTTAAAATTTTGCAGCAATCTAATCTGCCGATACTCGCATAATTGTCCAATCTTTGCTTGATTTCCTATTCATATGGGACAGTTATGCTTTTATGGGCAGTAATGGACAGTCCCATAAAAGTTAGACTAGTTTAGTTTGAGCAGACTTGACGTACCTAGGTGTACATTGACATAAAACAAATTTATAGTTATAACCGTTTCGACAACCCGCTCATTTTTGATAATTTTTTACGGCAGTTGGGCAATGTTTTGAAATTATATTTTTGGAACTTGCTACTCTAACAAAAATTGTGATAAATTTACACTAAACTTTTTTTTATTTTTTAAAATTTTACAAACATTTTGTAAATTTTTTTAAATTTAGTGCCCTATAAAAATATAGTATACACAATCTGTTGTAAAATGAATATTTGAAATTGAGAAATAACCACCAATATAAAACAAATATTTACGAAATACTCAACTCAAAATCTCTCTTTTCCTTCTAGATGAATACTTATCACACATCATTATGCAATAATATTTATTGTTCGCTACTTACCTCGGTGGAACCACTTCAAGAATCGTAGCCTCTCGGTAAACGGTTTTATTTGGATCTTTTGCGTCTACCGTTTCTCCCTTGAAGTAATGGTCTTTGACGAAACCGAACACATCATCGAGCATTTCGTTAAAGGAGCACCGTTTAGTATGCGACGCTACCAATAGGAATGGGCCTTTCACAGTAGGTGGAAATGTTCTGAGCAACTTGCGTGCCTGTTTTTCCGAGTCCAGCGCTTCCGCATAGGTGAGATTCGGTTTTCCCGTGATCTCACAGGTCCACACAATCGATGAGATGAGCACAACATGATGAAAATAGTCCCTAGTTAAAAAAGAGAGGCGAAACATAAGAACATGAATCGCTTGTGATACGATGAACAAAGTGGATAATGCTACAAGAAATGGAGGAAGCCATGGCATGAGTCAAAGCAAAATTTCATAAAAGTAATGATGAAAAGGAGGCCAGCTGATTCTCAACATACTTTGTGCGGGTGAAATTCCAACAGATTTCCTGCAAAACCTAATTGTTTTCTGGTGCAATCTTTTGTCCGGAGTTTTCTTTCAGGAAATAACCCAGAAAATTCTGATTTAATCCTAAATTTAGCGAACCGTAGCAGGTTGAATTTAGTACTCCGCCCCATCTTCGGACCGACAAAAATCAGCTTGCAATAATTCGTTCTACATTTTCGGACGCTGGGGATTATTACAACGTTCAATAATGTTTTCGACTTACTCGTAATTGCTGAAGATTTCATTTGTAGTTTCACAGTAAAACACTTCATCACTATCACGGAGTTTTTCCTGTCCAGACACCTTCTGGAAGAGCTTTTGCCGTAACAGAGGCATTTTTCCTCCTGCAACTTCCCAGACACTTTTCTGCTGCTCCTTTGATGTTCCGTGCTCTTCGAGACTTCAATGGCTGGCTTGCTTTACTAGCTTTTTTTCTTTCTTCCCTCTCAACTGCTTGTCAAACCAATGGTGAGTGCCGTCACCAACACAAATACAGCACCAATGAACGACGTGTGAAGGGAGCAAAGTCAAAATTGCGCTCACGATTCGGAACGCTCGGTTGAATTTGTTTACGCGCTACATCACTGAGCGGGTGGCGGGAAAATTATAAACGAAAATTTCAAAATCGAAATGCGAATAAATCAATGGAATAACATCATTTCAATGGGAGAAGTATATTCCCCAGTAAATAGCTTTCCACTTAAATCAAAAAGTTGTCTTTGACACGATGTAAGAACAGTATTATCGTTTCAGTTGAAAACCGGAAAATCCCACACGCGCCAATTGAATTTACTCTCGTTCTGTATGTTAAACATAACGTCGGACATAGTGCGCTGAATTCGCACAATGATGCGCTATTCAGCGCACTATGTCCGACGTTATGTTTAACGTACAGAACGAGGGTAAAATCGAATGTCGCGTGTGGGTTTTCCGGAGTCCAACTTGAACGACAATATTACGATAAAGCACCGCTACGCACTGGAAAAAAAGCCAAGATAGAAATGACAGCTATTGACATCAGATAGTGGTAACTCACGCATGGCGAATCAAAGTGTACACGCTTTTTCAAAACTCCCCAAATTTGGGTAGAATCCACCCAGATCGGTCAAAACTGAACCTACCCAAAAATGGGTAAACTGTGTTGGGAGTGACAAGTTGACAAATGAAAAACATTGACATAAATCTGATCGACGTTGTTCATTTGTCTTTCTGCTTACAACACGATTTTGCGTCCCTTTCTTTCATGTATACGTCAGACGGGCCGTATTTAAATTACAGAGCAAATTTTCATTATGTCGTAAGTACACACAAAAAATAATCATTGCTAAAATTAAAAAATCCGTTGGTAGAATTAAAAGTTTGCGTTGGTTCCCCTAATAAAAATTGTATGGTTAATTTGCTTAACGACGTGTTCTGGGTATCATCCAAACCATTTGTGGAATAGTTCAATGGTTTGGGTTATCGTTCGTTTATGGTTATTTTTTATTAGGGTCTTTTTGGTAGAAAGCGGTAAGCTTTCAATACGAAAATCAGCCAACCGTCAAATCAAAAGTTGCCTGCTCACTGCTTTTAAAAGTTGAAACTATCAAAATTAATTGTACTACTGTCAAATCAAAAGTTTGGCAGTGTTGGAAATAAAAACAGATTCATGTTATTTCAAAACAAACTTTTGGATTGAACATGAGATATTATTAAAACAATAAGTGCTATTTTGAATAGAAGAACACAATATTTTGAAATTGATAACGAAGATTTTTAACAAAATTACTTAATTTTTCATTTTATATTCAAAACAATCGTTTGGATTTCAAGCAAAAATTCTCAAAAATTATTTACTTATTTATTTATTTTTATTCTGGTTTACAACATTAATTTAACGTTATGCAACGAAAGATATAAAAATTGCTCCTGCTGCTAGGAGGCCAACTTTTACAATGAAGGCAGAGGTACCGTAGCGCTTCCAAATGGCTTGATACTTCAACAGGTCGTCCTGGCAAATTGCGTACACAGCAAAAAAAGTTGTTGAATATTACATCGAAACTGATGCAACCAGGTCAATCCATCGGTTGTGTAATATCACATTGTACGATGTACATCGATTTTGCGAACAAAATTACATCCATTGATGTAATATTGTATCTACTTTTTGCTATTACATCATTATTTCATACATCAGCTTGAATTACGTTGATCGATATTACATTTTTTTTTGCTGTGTAGTCTGCTAGAAAAAAAAAATCTAAAAATCCGAAACTATAACATTGAAAATATCGAACTTACCATTTGGAATGTCAATTGCACTTGGATCACTTCGTAGATCCAGCAAATCATGCTGGAATATCCATTGAAGAAAAGATGCTGAATGGGAAGAATCACTAGAGTTGCTACTTCTGAGCTGGATGTCATATTCACAGCAGCCAGACTAACGGAAAAGGCGGCAAGAGATTTCAGTGCAGCCAGTAAAAACATCGATGAAGGGGTATTTTTGACAGTTGTAAAATTTTTGTTTTAAAACTATGCACTTTTAAAATCACGGGTCAAAAGTGAAAGAAAAACTTTCAATTTGAAAAACTGACTTTTATTTCGAATATTTTCATTGTTGAAACAAGGAATTTAGGGACACTTTTAAGTAAAAAATGCATTATTTTTATTGATACAATTTTTGTTGTTTGTGTGTAACATTCGCACCAATCCGAGAAAAATAAAGTTTTGTTTTGATGACCGAAAAGTTATTCCTATTTCCAAGTAAACACATATAATCTCATAGTGATAGCAATGTTTAACATATTTAGCAGGGTTTTAATCATACAAATGCAAATCGCTAGCTTTCATGCAAAAAAATACTGGTTTTTGAGTCAAAAGTTATTATACGTCGTTTGGTGGCCCCTATTGTTACTTAAGTCAAAGTGTATTTACCAGGATATTCGGGAGAATTATCAATTACTCAATTACGTCTCCTTACGTGCAGCCCATTCATCATTTTAGGACCACCGAAATCATCTTAGCAACAGTTCGATTTATTCACTTTAATAATGAGAAAGCGAAACGACGAAAGTACACTTTTCACGGGTTTCTCAGTGCTGTTAAGTAACATCGAAAACTATTTTGATCGGAAGGTGATTACGTCAAAAAGCAATTCGACTGGTAAATAAATTTAAAAATGGGATGTGATCCCATATTCGGACAGTATATAGTGTAATAGCAGGAGCATCGATTGACACTGATAGCTCGAGTTTGTTTACCTTTGTTACATTCGACGTAATGAAAATTTGCTCTTGAGATATTATAGATTCCATAGATAAGCGGAGGCAAAGTATAATGTAGCCAAACGAACATTGCAGGGGTTTTGAACAACATTGACATAAATGTGATCGACGTTGTTCATTTGTCAACTTGTAACTCCCAACACAGCGGCGCCGGTGGTGTAGTGGTAAGCGTGATTACCTCTCACCCCAGCAGGCCTGGGTTCAATCCCAGTCGGCGCCACCGGGATGTTCTGAGGCATAACATCTCTGATCACGCCTTCCTTCGGATGGGAAGTAAAGCCGTTGGTCCCCGGTTCATGAGTTGATGGGTCGATAGGGTAGGGTCCAGGTGTAGGAGCTGCCTCCCTGGCGTCGGTAGCATTGGTGCTCAGCACGGAAAACAAGATCGACGGAAAACAAATCAAGGAAAAAAAAAAACTCCCAACACAGTTTACCCATTTTTGGGTAGGTTCAGTGTTGACCAATCTGGGTGGATTCTACCCCAATTTGGGGAGTTTTGAAATAGCGTGTCCGAAAATTTTTGACATTAATTCAGTGCCAACATTTCAAAGGGGCGTAATTGCTTTTGTAAACAATTACTTTAACCGTCAATTTCTCGTGAATGTAATCTTACCTCTACAAAATTACATTGCTTGCTGATAGAGGAAACATTCTTCTACCTGCTGGTGTCATTATTTTTCATGAGTGAGCTTTTATTCACGAGAAATCGACGACTAAAGCCATTGTTTACAAATGCAATTACGCCCCTTTGAAATGTTGGCACTGAATTATTTGATGTGCGTGACTACAAGATACCTAAAAATGATGGGAATTTAATCGATGTGTTCTGTACAGGGGCCTGACTGGCGGCCATGTTTTTGAAGCTTTCATCTGCTCTTGTCTTTCTGCTTACAACACCTGGAAAATTCTATTACAGCGAACCACATTATTTTAATTGATTTTCTCGCCTAACTTTTCAAAAGGTCCTATCTAACATTTCACTCTTTTCGAGAAAAACGAGGTTGAAGATTGACAGAATCTTTTTTGATACTATTTTAAACCAAATCAATTTTTGACCTTTTTAAGACCTTTAATAGTAAAATGCGATAGTAAAATTTAAATTTAAATTATAAACTACCCGTTTCAAACATTTTTTTCTATGAAAACGTGAAAAATATCACATAGGACATTTTGTTCTTGTCAGGTGTACATTGGACATGTTATATAGGACGTTTAGTTATAATCGCAGTTACATAGGTCATTTATGTTTTCAACATTATATATTTGTTTTTAAGCAATATCAGTGCATAATTTAAGTTATACGAGTTAAACGATCAATATGAGTATTGGACAATGCATCAACTTTTCGGAGGCGAACCAGCCTAAGGCTGAAAGCCTCCTAAATAAAGCTAAATTAATTAATTAATTGCATCAACTTTTTTTTAACGGTATATCGCAACACTGCGCACAGATTGTTTTGGTCGATCGTTGGTGGTCGCGTGAGCTGCTTATTTGATAACAGTGTTGTTTTTTGTGATAAATCGTGGATGTTACGCTTAAGAAATTTCGCCGATGAAGGCATGTTGCCCGAAGAGGTTTAGAAACTCCATGGAACGGAGCCAGGCGAAGGAAAGTTTTCGATCTTCGTTAGTAAAAGTAAACCGGCGAAGGCTATTGTGACATGATAGGGTAAAGAGTCCACACAAGAACCAACCAGAAAGTGTACCAGGAAACACCAGTTCCAGCTGTTAGGAAAGCGGAAACTTCTCTGAGCAGGAAGAGGAAATATGCCAACAAGCTTCAGTAAGAAAAGCAAGGGTAAGTCAGATGCATCGGGACATTTTTTATTAAAAAAAAACCGTCGAAGTCAAGAAGCACCGGAAATTGAACATTTTCAATCAAACGAAGACTGACATGTCCAAGGTGGGCCTCCCAGATGAGCACCTTTTGACAAAGAAGGCCTTGTTGCATTTTTTGCTGCTCACAGTGGTGCCGAAACTGACGATTCCGCAGCTTCTTGATGGAAAAGACGCTGGCTTATGCTTTGCCACTGGTGCACTTTGGGTGGTCATTGTACCAACCAGAGTAGTATTTAAGTGAAAGCGACTTGTAACATGTTTTATTTTCTCTTTCAGAGTTCATCGTAAGAAAAACAACCAATCCTGGGTTGTAAAGCTCCTGAAAAAAGTGGCAACAAATATTTTACGCAACGACTGTCGAATGAATACAGCAACTCCGAACTTTCTTCATGGAGATGTTTTGTTTGCTGGGAGTCTTCCATCACAGGAACAATACACCAACCACTTGCTGTCGGTACATGAGGGACAGTTCAAGATCGTTTCATGTGTCGAAACCATTCAAATGGAACAAAAGCAGGAAGTTGTGCACCTCTACGACGCAATGAATGGTGGTGTTTGAAACAGAAAAAAAAACATTTCGATGGCCTGTGAGGATCTCTGCAGATGTATTTCTACGAGCGGGTAGCCCTAATCA